AATACCAAAGGCTGAAACATCCCCAGAAACAAACAAAGAATGAAAACTATCCTGAAGTCTGGTGACCAGAGCAGGGGCACATCCTGTCAGGTGAATGCACAGCAGTAGCACAGTTATATCACAGATTTAGAGTGCCCAAAAATATTGCTTGGACACTAATTCCCAATGTATAAATAACCAAATTTATGGCTGACCAGATGACAAATGCTGACCAATACTTGCTGTGTAAAGACAGGTCTCGAGCTTCACTCTGCAGAAGAAAATACAAACTCAAACAAAAAACTCAGACTATAAACCTAATTTGACATTAATTACATACAGCTACAGTAACTACATGAGAGGGGAGCCACAGCTTAGCAGCCTGGCTCATTTTTAGGGGTGGGGAGCATGCATTTGGGGTGAACATCTCCATGAAAACACAAAAGGATTATACTGTGGAGAAAAGCAACTCAGTTAACAAATGTTTCCCCTTATACTGAAAACTCCTTCTTACACCTGTAATTAAAAAGGTCTCCTAAGAAATCAAGAATTAAAAAAAACAGCTGTTGCAGAAAAAAAAAGGGGGGGGAGGGGGGGGGAGGAGGAAATAGTGGAACGAAGATTTCTAGAGGGAAAAAAAATAAAAATTAAAAAGCAAAAGCTAACCCAGCAGAAAAAGATGCCTGGAGAGACCTGGGATGAGAGGGAAAAGGGAGCAGCCAATGAACAAACCTGTGAAAAGACAGTGGGTTTAAGGCTGGTACTTCTGGTGGTGTGAAGAGCTGTGCAGTTTCATCCTAAAGCCAGAGGGAGAAGAGGAAGGTCTTTTCAAGCCATTTTTCTAGTCATTAATTCAGTTTTGCTTCACCTCTGGCCTGAAGGCAGCATGGAGCTGCTGGCAGAGCCTGCTGCCTGCCATGGAGCTGAAGTGTGTCTGGAAACACCTTCCAGTGCTGACTCCCCAGCTTACATCTACCTGCTTTAGGGTTCTCCTGCCACACACGGACCCACAAGCAGCTCCTTCCCAGCACCAGCTCCCAGTGCCCAGTGTGCAAGTTCAGATTTACACTGTTAATGCAGATATCCATCTCATTTAGGCATGTTCCACCCCCACATACCCCTGTACTTCCTGAGTACTGTGGCATTGCATGGCAAGGAGCTCCACAGGTCTGCAGGGTCTTTTTCAGCCTTTACTCCTGATTCTGCTACTGTAAACTTTCTCTCCAGAATTTATTCAAAACAACAGCTAAATTATCTCCCCCAGCTGCTAGAATGGTGTGAGAATGCTGTGTGCCATGCCTGCTGCTCCCCACAACAAGCACTAGCTGGCCCTGGTGTCCTAAGTTTGGCTGAGATTAATTTTCAGAGGGGGCTGGGAGGGGACACAGCCATGACTGCTGACCCAAAGTAGCCAAGGGGATCTTGGATACCATAGGAATCACGTTCAGGGTACAAACTGGGGGAGTCTGCCAGGGAAGGGAGGGATTGGCAGGCTGGGCATTGGTTCCAGGTGGTGAGCTACACTCACTTCATATAGTATTTATTAGTATTATTGTTCTTGCTTCTCCCCTTGTGTTGTCCTATTAAACTGTTCTTGTCTCAACCCACGAGTTTTACCTTTTTTATCTTGCAGTTCTCCCCCCATCCCACTGAGGGGAGGAAGGAGCAAATTAACTGGACAGGTTGTGGAGCCCCAAAGTTCACAGAGTTTTAGAGGATTTCAGCTGGCTGTGGTTTGCTTTCAATCACTGTCTGCTCAAAGCAATGATTTAGAGGATCTTTAGGTCTGGCCAAGCCTACTTTTCTCCCACTTACCTGAACATGCTGCCTTGAGGGCAATTCTCTAGAAATGTTGACTCAGGAATGGTCACAGATGTGCCCACAGGTGTCCTCAGCTGTACCTGTTCAGGTGCCCATGGTAGCTGGGAGAGTACTCACAGCTGTGCAGAAAGGCCCAGGAAGCAGCTCTGATCTCCTCAATCTCACCAGAGGGACCCTTGAGCACAGCACAGGCTCAAACATGACCCAGACCACTCTGCCAGGGCCAGAGCTCTACCCTCAAGACACATGAAACAAGTGTCCCCAGCCAACAACTCTTACTGCCATGCCCATTAAGACCTAAACCTCTGCAGAGAGGCTTAGGGCTTGCTGCAGGTCTGGGAGAAGTCTGCAAACCTGGGGGCAAGTCCCTGAAGCAGCAGAGCCTGTGCCAAGAGCTCTGGGCTTCACACAACTCAAACATCAGGCTCAGAGCTGCCTTTGGCTGGAAGGTGAACCAGGATCTGTTTCATAAGAGTTGTCAGGGTTGGAAGGGACCTCTGAGGATCACCTAGTCCAACCTTCCTGCTAAAGCAGGATCCCCTACAGCAGATCACACAGGAACACATCCAGGTGGGTTTGGAATGTCTCCAGAGAAGGAGACTCCACAACCTCTCTGGGCAGCCTGGCCCAGGGCTCTGTCACTCTCACAGTAAAAACTTTTTCCTTATGTTTAACTTGAACCTCCTGTGCTTCAGCTTGTGCCTATTGCCCCACCATCCAGACCTTATCAGCTTGGTCCCCTGGTATTTCAGGTAACCACCCACAAAAATGTCTTTGAGAGGCTGTAGGTAAAGTTGAAATTCACTCCTCGAAACGCACTGCACCTGTTTGTGTGTGGTGGGACCTCTGTGCCTGTTGTCACCTGTGCTCTGGGTGCAGCCAGGTGGATGCTCAGGAAAGGAGGGATGTAAATGGGTCATCCCGCTCTGGGCAGCACCCAGCAAATTGGAAATTTGATGGCAATCCCATCCTTCTAAAAAATTACACTGCAAAGAAGCATAATTTAATCTTGCAAAGCAGAGGCTTTAAGTGGGGTCTTCCTTGTTTCTCCCTACTCTTTCTTGAGACCTCAAGGCAGAATTACTCTCAAACACAGGAACTTTGCTTCCTTTGTTCTCTGTTCCACTGCCTCTGACACCCTCCCTGCAAGCTCTGCAGAACACAAACCCACTCACTAAAGAAGTAAACTGGTGTGAAAGGCCTCCCTGGCAAGTGTGGCCCCAACGCTTTGCTCCCCTGGGCAGGTGTCTCGCTCTCCCCCCTGGAGCCCTGCAGGAGCACAAGGTCTGACAGGAGCATTTCCAGCTGCAAGTTGACTGGATAGAGCACAAGATGAGCAAAATGCTTCTTAACTGGAGCAGTGGGAGAAGCACTTTAGAGAGGAGAGAGAAAAGAACAAGTAAACCTGTGCAAAAGGACGAAAGAGGGGACGGATGCAGAGGGACAAGGAGAGGATGCAAGAGGGACAAGACACAGCAGGTTACACTGAGCAAATGGGGAGCCAGTGGGTTGCTAGGCTTTCAAGTACACTCTGCCTGTCTGTGCACAGATGCTATTTATGGGAATGTGCCAGAATCAATAGACAGAACATTTTTATTCAACATCCTTATGAATGCCCTGAAACAAAAGGCAAACAGCGTATTAATTACAGCTGCGGATGATGCTAAATTTGGAGCAGTAATGAGAGAGCCAGAGCAACACTGAGGGATCCATGCAGAAACAGGGAGAGCAAGGCTCAAAGCAAAGATCTGCCTGGATGGAAAAAGCAAAGTTCAGGCAGTAACTGCAGAGAGGGAGCTGCAACGAGGCTGAAGCACTTGGGGAAGTGGAAGCCTGCGAGGAACATCACCAACAGCTCATAAAATATTCTCAGCTTGCAATAAGATAAGGCAGCTCCCCATCAGTGTGAACAGGAACAGCAGGCTCAGAGGTATCATTTCACTGTCAGAGAGAAGCAATTAAAACTGCACCAGACAGTTTAAAAATGGATGGGAATTCAACAGCACAAAACCACTGAGCCATCTTTTTCAGAACAGCTCATTAACCCCATGGATGAACTTCCATAAAACCTTTACTAGGCCCAGCACCAAACTCTTCTGAAAAGCTGAGTGTCCAGGGGACTGACCTCCTATGAAGATATGGGGAGATCTTGCCACAGTCTAAAACTACTTCACAGGCACCAGGAAATCATCCTCTGCTCTAAATCATTGCTTACATTGGAGCAGATCTCTTCCCCAAAAAATTTCAACTGTTACATGTTGAACATCAAAACTAGAACCTCTAAACCAGGAACCACATGAGAAACATGGTATGTGTTAACTGTTTGTGAATCCAGCAGATTCTAGTTTGCTTTTGAGTTTTATCTGGTGGTAAAAAACCCAAGTCAACCAAAACAAGAAGCCCAACAAGCACTGGGTTCCCTCTGCTCATCTGAACAGACAATGCTGGCTCCTGAAAGAGGGAAGATGACTGGACACACTTCTCAGGCAGAGATTACAAGGAGACACTGTAGATAGCTACTATCTGCATGCTACCAATGTCAAACTTCACCTAGTTACATGGAGCAAATCACAATTATCTCTGAGGGACAAAACTCTGGACATAAAAATAGAAGCAGTGAAACAAAATCCATTGCACATTCACAGCAGCCCTACTGCCAAGATATAAAACACATCATTAAAACACAGAATGATGCCACAGGACCATTCCAGCAGGGGGGTGACACACAGAGCCTGGCATCAACTCACAGTGCCTGCAATTCCTGCCTGTGCAGGAGTGGTGAGAAGAGGAGGGAGAGCAGGGCTGGGAGCAGGGAGGGGAATTAGCCAGTCCCACTGCTGGCATCTCTCTCATGCCTGGCTAAAAACTCACAGTCCCTTGCAGAAGAAAGGAATTTGGACACTACATTCATCCCCAGCACAGTGACTGCTGGGAACCTGACACAAGCCTGAAGAGCCATGATCCTGGCAGTTTGGTCTAGGTGAGCTGTAAACACAGTTCCCACCCACAGC